TTCTCTCAGTTGTCTGTTTTAGACTCAATCCTTGTTATCAGGATGATTGTTTTTGTAGTCACAAAGAGCTAAGTACCTTTAGTCAAAAGTACGTACACCCTACAGCAGATCTGTCCAGACTTCTTTGGGGTTGCAGAGAGGATCAGCGATTTGGTACGCTGTCTAAACGAGTCTTGCCACTCTGAGTTCATATAATTGTGTCAGTACGTATGACTGGGCATCTGGATGTGAACAAGTGCCCGAGGGGGCGTACAAACACACGATGAGCTTGGACAACTCTACTAACTTAGGACTTAGATACAGAATTTTGTGTAAGTCAGATGAAGAGAGGATATTTTTATGCTGCAGTTATTTCAGCAAAATCCTATCCTTGAAATAGCTTTAAGAGACTTTAGTTTCTTGATCTTTTCTGCTGTTCTTCTGCCCTTGGGCACTGCAGAACATCCCATCCTGCCTATGACTCAGGGCAAACATCCAGCTGTCATTTTAACCCAGACCTCTGTTTAGGTCTTCATGCTTTGGTTACGTCTCTGTAAAGGCTCCTTTCTGCACAGCGTTTTCCACACAATTAAAAACCCTCACTTAGGTTCCTGCTACCTTACAGCTGGGGCATTGCTCCTGTTTTGTGTTTTGAAAATGCAGACCTATGAAGTTAATGGGACCTGCTGAATGGAAGGGGCAAAGCCCCAGTCTCCCCATGTCTGTCTCCTGGGCCACCTCTCTGTGGTCCAGTGCCCAGCACTGATGCCCACAGGGGAGGGGAGTGTTCCTTTGTAGACTGGAGACATGTAGTATCTCATCTGTTTTATGCCCTGAGTGCTACTCGTGCCATTGAGATTTATCAGTGGATCTATCTGCGTCTGATTTGAAATCAGCTTGTGTAAGCTTACTAGATTCCTGTATGAAACAGTGTGATTACATTTCAACACTGCTTTACAGTCTGGGTGTGAGTAACATTTTTATGTTACATAGCCAACGTATCATTTCAGAAATGTGGACCTTCTCCGTGTAAATAAACAGGCAAACTCTCTGACACCTTGCTGTTGTGTTTTATGCAGTCATCTCCTGGAAGTACTGGATGTTTTATTTCTGTGTACCTACATGAACTGTGCGTGGTTATAGGAGGGAACGTAGAAAAGGGTAGTGTGTAGTTATGATTCAAGACCAAAAGCAAGCTTAAAACTTAATGCAGCAGCTCTGCTCATTGTAACTTTAGCTTCTGTTTCTTTCAAGACAACTCAGCAGGATGCAGTGAATAAGATATGGCCACCCCTCTTCTTCATAAGGGATAGGAGAATAAGCGTAACAGGAGAGGTACAAAATACCCATTCTGAAAGCTCTTCTGAGGTGCCTCCTTACGGCTAAGGTGGAACCCAAAGCCAAGGTAAAATACCCTTTGTTGGTTCTCACTGGGCAACGAGGGCTTGGTATGCCACAAATAAGCTGACCAGCTGCTTTGACTTGTGTAGGAGCAGGGGTAGAAGAGCCACTCAGTTTCTTGGATTAAATGGTAAAAGCTATCAGTGCTGTGGACAGCTTGAAACAGAAGTTGGTATTCTTGGGGGTTTTACTCTGAACTGGGTTTGTTGCTCACCTGGAAATCTCAGAAGTGCAGGTTAGTTTGACAGGTTCAAAGACTCTAGTTCTAATGCAGACTACAGGGACTAAAATACATATATGTCATGCTAAAATGTATTTGCCGAGATGTCAGTTTGAGTTCTTGTCAGCACATGAACATTAAATTACATCTAAATGGCAAAGCCACCTATGGATTTGAGCTATTTCTAACATGCCAACATTTAAAATTATAGTCATTTATATTTAGATTTGGGAGTGTTTCTTTAGCATCTTAACTACTGCTTTGAGACCTAATTTTGGACACACCCATTTAAAAATGTTGGCTTTGATTTCTCATTGTTTAATTTGCAAAAGGATATGTGTTCTAAAAGTGCTTTAACGTCTTAGGATCAGAGAACTTCTATAATTATTAATCATTTAATTCATTATTCATTTTGAATGCATTATTTCATAGTAAATCACCTTTTCCTGTTCTGCTATGTACCAGTTAGTTTGCTGCCTGTACTTCATTCATCTTGGAAGCCAGAGAACAACCCTTGCGCCTCAGTTAAGCCTCTTTGCAAATACATGATTGGGTTGGGGATGCAGATAGAAAAGTCAGGATGAAACTGCTAAGTACCACTGCCAAATAAGATTTTTGTTTCTTCTCTATCTCCAAATTTAGATGGAAAACCGTAGGTAGAAGGAGAAAGTATTTCCATTCACTCTGCTGCTAGATGAGATGTATCCTACCGAAGTTTCACACAATGGAGAGTCACTTTTGAACATTAGTGTTAAGAATTTCTTTCCTGTTTTTCTTTAGTAAAGAACCCTTTTCTCTGTACTTTTTAAAAAGTGTGAGATGTCTTTGTAATCTAGCACAATTTATCTGCAGAACGATGGTATCAATAGTAAATTTGTGTTGTCTAGTGTCTTCTCAATACTTTTACCAGGTAACAGTAAGAGATACCATCCTATTTAGAAGTGTCTGATGTGGAGAAAATACTTCATTTTTTCCTGAAAAGGAACGTAAATTATGTACAAATTAAGCCCTGCCCTTTTTTGGCTCCTAGCCCAGCCACCAGTTACAAAGGAGCAGGAACAGCAAAAGGGCCTGAGCACACGTAAACATCTGTTTGTCTGAGAGTACCGGATGCCCTCGTGTTACTAATTGTCCAGCCAAGAGAAGTCTCCCCAGATTACTTGGACAGGAAGGACTGGGAGAACACTGACATCCAGGATTCTACCAAGGGTACTTACTACTTCTTTAGCTATTTTTAAAAGCCTGAAATGTTTGACTCTAACTTTTTAAGGGAAGTGATTTCTGCATTTCTAATATTTGAAATGACAGGAGGGGAGCTAAGAGCAACTCACACTGCATGCACTGCGTAAGATGTAACTATGCTCGTCATGCAGAATACATCGATAAATCAGAATAGCTCCTATAAATTTAGAGAAACAGGGAACTCACTGATTCTGGAAATACGTATTTTCTTACAGGAAATTCTTTACATTCAAAATTTGATAATAATTTTCTAATTCTGTGAAGCAGATTAATATATTAATGCCATTAGTGCTTTTTAAGCACTAGCAAAATCTTCAAACTTTTTGATACAACTTTCAGCTTACTTAGAACATAAGGAGATATTAATGACAAGTATTCAAATATATGCCATTTTTCAAATATGTCTTTTTATGGCATATGTGAAAAGCTTGATCTTAGTGCTCCTTACAGTGTATAAAAAGGTGCTTTTTCGCAGAAGTCAAGGTGAGAGAATTTTATATGGCTTAAAACTACTGTGTAGCATAATGTAGAGATGTGAATTTAAATTTCCTTGGTTGAACAGGAGAAGCCTGCTTGTTTTAGTTTTACTGTATTAGTTCTAAGTTAAATTTTGTTTTGGAAATGTGGATTATTTTTCATTTTTGAAATGTCAGGATATTTTTCAACATTTTTCCACTGGGTTATGGCACTCAGTTAATTGAATTTAGTGAGCTGACATTGGTGTTAAAACAGTATAACAGCACGGAGAATCTGGTACTTCCCTGTGTCTGAAATCTAAAAAACAATGCATAAAATATTTTTTTATAATTTTGTTTGTGACATTTTTCTTAACTAGGCAATAGCAAAAGTAGTCTGTAACTTTGTGTACTGTGGGATGCATTTTCTGTTGCTTTTCTGGTATTTTTTGTCACCCTGGAAGTGATGCAGCTGCCAGTTACCAATCATGCCCAGTTTCTGCATAATCTCTGCTCAACCCTGGTGTAAATGACTGAGAGTAAACTGTGCTGAACTGTCTATGCCCAGACAGTGGAAGAGGATGTACTCTTATGCTTGGGGATATTGCTGTGAGGACCAACTCCAACTATGAGAATGCCATAATAATCTGAAGGAATTGGGTCTATATTCCTGTACTAGACTAGGAGGCACCCAGTTTGGGTCCCACTTTACAGTGATTTGATTCAGGTGTATTTATTCTGGATTTCTATTTGCGGACATAAGAGCCTAGATCCTAATGTGCAAATGCCATGCAAGGAATCAGGACAATAGGGGCTGTCTGTGTGGGCAAATTGACTAATTTCTTGGAGTATATTGTGATCTGAAATACCAGTCATTTTAATTGCAGAATATGAGTGAATTTCTAAAGAAAAATGATTGCTGTAGAATAAAGGCATTTGTAATACAGAACAAAGTGTAGGGATGGGTAACTCCTGTGGAATTGCTTATCACAGAATGATATTCTAATCAGGTTTCCCAGGTAGATGAACCCACAGGACAGATGGCTTACCCTTTCCGTTCCTTGTCAGTTTAGCTGTATATGAATGCCCTAATGAGGACAGCATGGAGAAAACTTAGTAAGTACTGGACAGAAAACTAGATGTATTTAGTACGTAACCAGAAAAGTTTTAAACGGTAGCAAATTTTTATCATTACTGAAGAACTGTGACCCAAATGTGAAATAAAGTGGAATTTAAAAGCGGAATCAATCCTTTCTTATATTCCTTATCTGATTTTTTTTCCTGACTAGTAGGCTAACATCTACTTGGCATTAACATATCAGAAGTTAGTGAGTTTTCAGGGATAAAATGTTTGACATACCAAGCATTCAAAAATGTAATGTACCTGTTAAGTTTAGGTAATTATAATGTCTCTAAAATCCTGTAATTTCTTGTCATTTCTATATAATAAGCGACTTGTGGGTATAAGAAAAAGACAAAATCTTGGAATATAGAGGTATTCAGACTTATTACTCATTTTACATAGAAAACCTGTCACCAAAATTATGAATTTATACATTTTAAACATGGTACAATAACAAAAATCTATACATAAAAATAGTATAGTCACGAAAGGAGTATTGTAACATAAAATTTACTGAAATTACCCAAATCTCAGAGTATTATGCAGGAATTTTCAAGAGATCTTCTATCTTGCAGTCGTGATGCAGGAAGGATCTACAGAAGAGCTCCACAGCAGCCAACCATGTGAGAGCAAACTACATGAGCATGCTGGACCACTGGTTAATGGAAGCAGAAGGACAATGGTGACAGGAGGTGGAGGCTACCTGGGATATAATCTGGGATGTGCCCTTGTCAGGTCAGGAATTGCTGTTGTTCTGTTTGATGTACGGAAACCTAAATGGGAAATTCCAAAGGGAGCAGATTTTTTCAAGGTATGTTGAAATTAAATATTTAACAGCAGTGAAATAAAGTTGTACTAGTTTTGTGCACATTAGCAAGGCTTCCTCTTAAGGATTTTTGATAAAAGTGTGTACTGAAAAGCCTTTAAGTACAATAAGGAGTCATTGTAAAAGGTCCTCAAATGCATAAATAACTGATTAAGAGGTAGCAAATAGGAGTCCAAGCGGTCAGTTCTCTCAGTGTTACCAGTGAAGTTCTGAAGAGTCCTGCATTGGTAGGTGCCATTCAACACATTTGGAGCTCACCTAGGTGGAGTGAACAATGAAGTGACAAAGTTTACTGCTTAGGAAAATTATTTTGAGTAAAAAGGTGAGAGAAAGGCATGGCAATAAAAGTGATCACAAATGTAGAATGACTGCTGTGCAGAGAATGATTGAGGAAATGCGGACTTTCCAGTCTGGAAAAGAGATTACTTGGGAGCAGAAGAGCTCTACAAACTGTGAGTGGCTTGGAGACGGATAGAGATTGACCGGTCACTGTCCTTTCCAGTACAAGAAGGAAGGGCCATCAGGTGAAATGAGGAGTCGTCAGCTCAGTACAAACAAAAGGAAGTTTGTTTTTCCTGCAGTGGGAAAAAGGCATGTACAAAGCCTTGCCAAAAATTTACTTCCACTGGAGATTACTAAATAGGTAAGCTAAATTAGGCTTAAGAAATCTTCTGAAGGAATATACTTGGAGACTGGAAGAGTAGTCTGGAGGAAAGTGTCACATATGCTTTCCCTCTCCCTGCTTCCCAGGGCACCCATTTATGAGTGCTGATTCCTTTTGATTCATAACCATTCAATAAATTTATTATGTCTGCAAAAGAGGGGGAACAAGAGGGACCTCAAATATTTAATTGCTTACAGCCATCTGTGGAGGACATCATCCCCCACTTCTGCCTGATGTGGGGAGCACCAGCTCCGCACAGCTGCGTCATCCACTCAGCTTTAGGTTCTGGGTGCACAGGGGGCACTAGCAGTTTGTGCATGCTCCTGCCATCTTGCACAAGTTCCAGCTAGACGCAGGGTATCATTCAGCTGATCTTGTCTAAGAACTCTTCAACACCCCCAGCAGAACTCCAAGGTTGATGGCAAAGCTGAACGTGACCACAGGATCCTTGTCCCAGGGGCTGTTGAGGCGATGCCACATTTTCTCCTTCAAACTACATCACCATGTGGGACAGGCGGTAAGGGAGGCAAAGGGGATGCATGACACTGCTCTGCATGGCTGTCCAGTGGGTCGAATACTGAGCTAAGCAGATCTGACCCATGATGGTTGTTCAGTTTCATAAACAGCTTTTACAGAATATGGGAGAGAGAAAGTATTATTGAGGAACCTTTCAAAAAATATGTTTGAGTTGTTAATTATATAAATCCACATAATTTGATCTAAATTGGTGGATTGATGGCAATTTACATCTTTTAAAGGAGACTTAAGAGATCTGACAAATGATCTTCTGAGAACAGTTTTTCTATAATTCAATTTTAAAAGAATAAATACTAGGAAGTACAGGTGAATTACCTAGAAAACAGAACTACGGAGTCCTAGTAAATAAAGTAATAAGTCACTTCAGAGATCTCGCCCTCGATCAGGGATTTGGAGATTGCTAATATTGTTTATACTGGTTAGCTATTTTAGCATTTGATTGAAGGTAGGAAGTGTAAATCAGCCTTATCTGTGAAATACTCTGGCAATCTCAGAAGAAAAAAGTTGAGAGTTAAAGACTGATTATATTACCTCTTAATATTACCTCCAGCCATTTGTTTTGTGATTTTTCTATCCATTTCATTACAGTAAATTAAATAATCTAAAATATTTTGAAATCTCATAATTCTGAAAAGAGGAGTGTTATATTTTTATTGACATCTGTGTATGTGTATGTGGAGTATTATTCATATAGTATTGTTTGATATATAAAAATGCAATATAATATTTGAAGCACAGCATAGCATTTGATACTAGATATAGTGTCTGTGTATATAATATAGTACAGTGTTCAGTACTATATAGTGTTTCATATAATGTGATTATAATACGCTAATGTATACTAATACAATATTAAACACATAGAATGTTGTCGTGGTTTGGGCTGGACTGGCACAAAGAGAGTGTGTACACTTTTGTTTTAATCTTGTACAAAACTGTAATTAAATGTATCATTCAGTACACCTAAAATAAACCTTAGATGGGCAAAGAGGCATTTGACCAGATTGTGCAAGTCAGATCTCAAGTGCTAACAGAAAAGGTGTTCTCTTATTTGGTGATTCCGTGGCAAACAGCTGAACCCTTCCTGCTGTAATTCTCCAAACCTCAAACATATGCTGCTCCCATTCAAGTCAAACAAGTTTTGCCAACCTGCTGGTGGAAGGACTAAGTGTGAAAATATGCATTATAATTGAAGCTAACAAGAATCAAATTTGTTTCGCAAGAAAATACTAACAAAATTCTTAGTCATGGATTTTTCTCCACATTTGTCATGTTTTATTTAGTGTTAGTTAAGTATTGTGAAAAATAGATCAGAAAGACTTTATATTTTCATTAATAGGTATAGTTAATACTAACTTTGTAGAGAATGTAATGAGCTCTATTAGTCAAAAATCTGTTCTTTTCTTATTTTACAGGGTGACGTGAGGGATTATGATGCAGTGTTCAAAGCATGTGAAGGAATTGACTGTGTTTTTCACGTGGCTGCGTGTGGAATGTCAGGATTAGAACAAGCAAGTACAATTTTCCTAACATTTTCTTTCTTTATTCTTGTGAAAGCAAAGATTTGTCTGCATATAGCAAAGAATGTAATAATATAATATTTATGTCAGACAGAAGTTAATTATAAAGGTTAGGTCATCCATACAGGCAACAAGGGACGTGTTCCTTAAATGATAAATATCAAAGCATGAAACTAATGTACTACAAAAAATACTCTAGAAAAATGTGATCAAGTTCTCAGATAAGAAGGCATATCCTTTTTCTCTAATCTGAAGTGTGACAATATTGTTCTAGAATTAACGTTGATGCATTTTCTTCTTGTGAACTCAGTCATGAGGATACAGACTAGCAACTCAATATAACTATGCTAAATAACAGTGATATTCACCAAGGGTGTTATCAAAAAAGTCATGAAACTACTAATTTATTTCTAGCAACAGGACAGATTGGCACTGGAACAAGAATTTGTGAAACCTTTCAGGGACCATAACCCTGCTTATAAAGCCTGTTTCTATATCGTGGAGTATCTGGGGTGTGACAAAAAAATGAAGCATTATAATTTCCTTTCAGATGCATTTTATCTTTCATTTTTCAACTTCTATTTATTCATACACTGAACAAGAAAATAAAAATTAGAACTTCTAGGAATCACTATATGTCAGAAGGACAGAGAAGTAACACATAGATCACAAAAAGGACACAGCTGTTCTAGATCTGGCAATTGTAACAATTGTATTGTGAATGTGACTTATTCAATTAATTGGATATTGTGCAAACTCTATTTCTAGCTTCAAAAGAAAGACCAGATTGAATCCATCAATGTTGGAGGCACAAAAATAATAATTGATGGTATGTAACTAGATGTTCTTTCTTTGTGTCTGATCCAAACCATGAATTAAAAAAACTTCTAATTGGATGTTTCCTGTGTTGCTTTGGTAGTAAAATGAGGCTCTTTTCTCCCTGCTTTCAGAGTGGGATGTAAAGCTAGGTGTGCATTAAAACTGGTAGGAGATTTGCCACTGGTTTGAATTGGGACAGGTTCATCATTCCTGGACTTCATTCCATGGCAGACCAACTTAAACTCTCCTCCATATACTGGTGATTTTTTCTCTGTACTTTGTGTAATGGAGAAGTATTATCTCCTTTCTTTATGGAAATAACGTGAGAGATCAACAACACACTCTTCGTTGTGTTGTATTGGTAACAGGAACCATAGATGTGCTAAGTATATTTAGCGATTATTTTATCACCTTAATATAGAAAATCTTCTATCCTTTCTGATCATCTATCTAAACGGGATCCCTTTTTATTACATAATGATTTTAACTACTGTCTCTGGAAAACGTAAGTAGATTTCTTTCTGTATATTAAATTCTAGAAAGAATATTTCAAAGTCTATTGTAAATACCAAAGCTACTTTCTCTTTGCTTTTCCCTCAAAAACCAAATGGCAAAAAAATCAAAAAGCAAAATGGCAAAAGCGGTTTTAATTTAGACCCATTTTCACACTGCCTGTAGATTACTACTGAAAAAAGCGTGAATAATTAGAGTGAAATGGCAAGTAAAACTCTAAATGAGTTAGAAGGAAGAGGTTGCCACCTACGCCCTTCTTCTTACCCCAGCCTCTGAACCCACAAAAATATGTCATGTCAAATTTCTGTAGGCTCCCAACAAAGCAACAGTCTTGGGAGCAGCAAGAACCTGTTAATCTACATTTTAATAATAGATATTATTATTATTATTGCAGTTTGTTCCAGATATTTACAACATGGTAATTACATTCGTTATTTTCAAAATGAGCCAATGAGCCAACTGGACTGACTGCTCTGTAGATTCTAAAAATTCCTGACTTTGAGTATGAATTCACTTAAACTTTAGAAACATTGTTGAATCAAAAGGAAATTTATGTTACTCAAGTTTGCTGTGACATATATGCAGCAGAATTTAGACATAATATCTTAACATCTGACTGGAATCCATAATTAAGATTTTGTTTTGTAAATAATATTAATTCCATTTGTATTTAAGGTACTACTGATTATAGACTAACAGCATATGTTTCCTGCTACCACGTCATTTGTCACTTCTGAACAGATTGAGACAAATACAGTTTTGTCACGCACCGGAGAGGGCTAGCACATTTTCTTACAGGACTTTACTTATCTACGCAGGCATCCATGAAACCGCGGCTCAAGCAGCAGTACTGCGTGCTGCTCACTGCCGAAATAAGGGCAAAAATAGTGGTCCACAGACAGGCTGCTCTCCGTAGTACTACCCCTACAGAAAGAAGCAGGGAGTTTTCAGTGCTATTTGATCACAAGAAATGTTCTTACTAATCTCCTTTTTGTTCCATTTGTAACATGAACATGTTTTAAGAAATGTTTCTGAAGTAAAGGAGATTTTTTCCCCCTGCCAAGATAATTCCTCTATCCAGCTGATGATACGGTAGTTGCAGGTACCTAATCATAAAATGTTCGGTGACCACAATATGTAATACTCACATAGCGGATACTTGGGATGAAAACTTCCAGCTGAATGAAAGATTATATTATATTAAATAAGTTAATGTTAAAATAGTACTTTTTCTATAAGTGTAATGTTTGTTTTCAAAAAGAGAAGCTCCCAGTTGTTTCTCACTCTTTATTTTTGTTTTAAAATAATTTATTTTGTATACCATTGTAGTCTGCAAACAAAGAAATATCCCTAGACTGATATATACCAGTACAGTGAATGTGGTATTTGGAGGGAATCCTATTGAAGAAGGAGATGAAGAAACTGTGCCGTATTTTCCACTGGAAAAGGTACTTTGTTCATGTTATGGAATACATTATGTGAAGGCTGTTCTGAGGGCAGAAGCTGTTTTACTATCGATCACATCAAATTTCATGAAACTACTTTTCATTGATAAAAATTGACCCGTGATCAATGAAGAAATACTCAAATCGTAGTGGCTTTAATCTGCTATAACTAGACAGATGTGAAATGATAAAATACCTAAAAATGACTAAGAAAAGTGGAATGTGACATGTAACAAGAGTATTTTAAGAAGAAGGGTTTTCAGGGGACCATCTATTTTGTAAGTACTGGATATGGCCCCTGTGAGCCTTTGCATTGAAGAATGTTGTTAAATACCAAATTCTACATCTTTATCACACGTTTTTGCTTCCTTGATGTTCCCAAACCTTGCTTTCTTGCCACAGGCCAGGCGGAGGTTACAGTCACCTCGCGGCTCTTTGAAATACCATTTCCTTCTTTACTGTGATCATTCAGGAAATATTTTCTAGCTGAAATCTGAAGCCCAGTGCATTCTGGCCGCTCTTCCCATTTGTTCTTTCCTGCTCCCAAAACACTGCCTGCAGTTAAAAGCTGTAATTTTAGAATGTACATCCTGTGTCCAGGATTCCTAAGTAGGACTGACTACGACTCTGTTGGTGGTGCCTCCTGAGATGTCAGTTTGTGCACAGCACCTCAGACTTCTGAGAAAGCATTTCAGGAATTTGCAGTTAGTTGCATGTGTCTGAGCCCCTAATCATATGTTTTCTCTAATGGTGATCGTGTAATAGCAAGCAGCAGGAGGCATGGAGGGAGGTGGGCCAGGTGGATTAAGCCACCTGACTAAGGAAAAATTTTCAACGGTGGGCTTTTTAGGTATATTTTTCCATATAAAGTATGGCAATACAAAATTCAAAAGATATATAAAAAGCCTTCTGTGGGTGATTAACACTAAACCAGCATGTGCTAACTGTGTCCAGAATCCTATTGTTTAAATACACTTGGGTGCAATTTTTAAAGTTAACAGTAAAAGATACAGTTGGGAGAGACTTATTTATAACTTGCCAAATATCTTCAATAAGAAATGGAAAAATTTTTAGGAAAGTCTGAATTTTTAATTTAATATTTAACTTACTGTTTTAAAAAACTTTTTCCAATTCAAAATTGATGTTTTTTCAAAATAAAATTATCTGACCCACCAGAACATTTGTCTTGATATTAATTAAGTACCCCCACCACAAAAAGTGAGTTAAGTAAATACTAGCGGACTTAAATTTGTTCTGAAGCTAAACTTCTGCAACTACAATGTAAGTCTGATAAGTTTATTTGTCATAAACAAAGTATACTTTTGCTATGTCTTGTTGTTATTTCTAGTTTGGTTTTACTCAGGTGATGTCTACAAGGTGGCTAGATTAAAAAGTTGTCAGATATAAACAGTAAGTTTGCCTTTACAGATGCAATAATGTGATTAAAATGTTGATCATATTCTGCCTTTCCTTGTAGCAATTTAATCATTATTCTAGAACAAAGGCAATTGCAGACCAAATGGTTCTTGCTGCTAATGGAACTTTACTCAAAGGTACATATAAAAACATTCGGGGTTTTCCTATCATTAGTAGTGCTGCTAATGGCTATTCCATTCTCTGGTTACTGTTTATCAATAAATAGTATACTTTACATGAAATAAGGATTTATTTTGTTTGTTTCTACTTCTCCCTTTGGTGGATTATTAATTTTTTATGTGTATAGCCAGACAGAGATGAGATTATATGCAAACAATAGATGGGAGAATTCAGAAAATTTAACCTTACTTCTTCAAATCAGCTTAAAAGTTTACTGGTTTTACAATGGATACAGTATTTGTGCTTTTATTCCCCATTCTATCATTTCGAGATTCTCTGATAATACCAATCTCTAAGCACTGTCCGATAGGTCATTCTCGTAATCCCCAAAGTCTTGCAGGTGTCTGGCTAGAATAATCACAATTTTTTAAACAGATTGTCAATATCACGGTCATGTTGACTTCTAAAGTCACACATGCATGAATAGCTGTGGCTAAAAATGTAGCTGTAAATGGCAAGGGAAATATTTATCTTTGCTTTTACATACATATTTTGCTATTCCTACTGATTTCTCTGAACTGAAAAGTTGGCAAACATAAATTAGGTGGGGATTCAATTTTAGCATCCTTGGTTAACTACTGAGCAAATGCCTACCACCTGTTACACTTGTTAACATAAAAGGTGTAATTGTGCTTATTCTCAGGAGACAGAGGAGTCTGCTTACTGATTCACACGTAGAGCCTAAAGTATTCATTTTGATTTAAAATATTCCAATTCATTTGAAAGCCTCTGTTTAAGAGACCTCTTCTATTCCTCTGTGATGCCATTGAGCTGCAAGCAAGCAAGGTGTCAAAATATAGCAAATTGAATTATCGTATTCTAGTATTGCATATGTCTACAATGATGGACAAATACGTATGTTATAAACTTATATCTATAATAAATAGCAAAAGTCAATCAAGTAGGTGGCGTATTTGTAGGAAAATTTTATTTGTCCTGGCTCTATTCAAGCACTTGTACGGTCAGAAGGATTCAGTTTTTCAGGCTGCTAAGTTAGGGTCTTTCATTACTATTGAATTCAGTTTTATACAGAAATGAAAACAAGTGACTAGGAAGCTGAATCACATAGAATGGTCAGACTGATCCGTTATTTTCACAATGTAAAACTCAGACAATGTATGTCAGCCTTACCAAAGCTACCCAAAAATCACATTTTGTTCTCTCTCCAAGGAGGTGATAAGCTCCATACTTGCGTGCTTCGTCCACCAGGCATATATGGTCCAGAAGAGCAGCGCCACCTGCCACGAGTAGCTGTATGTGTTATGTAGTCACCTCTGGAGGACACTACAAGTAGTTGTAAGGGCATAACACAAGTGAAAGTATCTTGATTACAGTTCTTATCAATTCCTCCAGGAAGACTGTTGTGAAAGCTTGGTGACAGGTCATATGTTGCAAGGTAACAAATAGCATGACATGAGCATTGCAGAAATGGCAAGGATCAAGCTGCATTTTTAAGTCAAAAGAAAAAACTGCAAGGCTTAAACACCATGATAGAAGAAGTAGGCTTGCATCCCTGATCATTTAATGGAAATGTCTTTAAAATATGTACTTTAATTTCAGCCAAACACTATAATGTCACCATATTCTGCCACTGCGTATCAGTGCAACATTCCTTGATGTATAAAACCACCAACTAGTTGTTTTTTTCTTGTGCTGTAATTGTACACAAATAGAACAAATTCTAAGTATTCAGGCTGAGCCAAAATGAACACATTATACTGCACAATAAAGGAATAACATAGTTATTTTATGTTTTCTGTTTCTACAGGTAAATATCCAGCGGAGACTGTTTAACTTCAAGTTTGGGAATCACAAAGTGCGGATGAACTGGGTTCACATAGGAAATCTAGTACAAGCTCACTTACTAGCTGCTGAAGCTCTCACCTCTGAGAAGGGTTATGTAGCTGTGAGTAAACAATATAAACATTGTGTCCCAGTAGTTTTAGCTCTCAAACAGGTTTAATTTTTGATGTTTTGAGATCAAACATTCTCCAAAAGGTCGTATGCTAAGGTCGCAGAAATGGTACGTGGCTCCACAAGCACATGGACAGCATCAATGCAAGTACATTCTAATATTTTGATGCTGTTTTTTTCTGTTTTGAAAATAAATAATTTCCTGTTTGATTTGAGGAAACAGTATTTTTAAACAGGTTAATATATTCACCATCATAGGAATATCTATATTCTGTTACTCTTTTGAAAATAGATTCTGATTCTAGATCATAGAATCATAGAATGGTTTAGGTTGGAAGGGACCTTAAAGCTCATCTAATTCCACCCCTCTGCCACGGGCAGGGACACCTCCCACCAGCCCAGGTTGCTCCAAGCCCTGTCCAACCTGGCCTTGAACACCTCCAGGGATGGGGCAGCCACAGCTTTTCTGGGCAGCCTGTGCCAGGGGCTCACCACCCTCAGAGTAAAGAATTTCTTCCTGATGTCTCATCTAAATCTCCCCTGTTTCAGTGTAAAACCGTTCCCTCTCGTCCCACCGCTCCCCTCCCTGATCAAGAGTCTCTCCCCAGCTCTCCTGGAGTCCCTTTAGGGACTGGAAGGGGCTCTGAGGTCTCCCCGGAGCCTTCTCTTCTCCAGGCTGAACACCCCCAACTCTCTCAGCCTGTCCTCCCAGCAGAGGGGCTCCAGCCCCTGCAGCATCTTCAGGGCATCCTCTGGCCCCACTCCAACAGGTCCATGTCTCTCCTGTGCTGAGGCCCCAGAGCTGGAGGCAGCACTGCAGGGGGGTCAGAATCCCCTCCCTCACCCTGCTGGCCATGCTGCTGGGGATGCAGCCTAGGGTGCCGGGGGCTTCCTGGGTTGCAAGCGCACATTGCCGCCTCATGCTGAGTTTTTCATCCACCAACATCCCCAAGTCCTTTTCCTCAGGGCTACTCTCAATCCATTCTCTGCCCAGCCTGAATCTGTGCTTGGGATTGCCCTGACCCAGGTGCAGGACCCTGCACTTGGCTTGGTTGAACTTCATGAGGTTTTCATAAGCCCACCTCTCAAGCCTGTTTAGGTCCCTCTGGATGGCATCCCTTCCCTCCAGCGTGTCAGCTGCTCCACACAGCTTGGTGTCGTTGGCAAACTCACTGAGGGTGCACTCAATCCCACTGTCCATGTCGTCAACAAAGATGTTAAACAGCACCACTCCCAATACTGACCCCTGAGGAACACCACTCATCACTGATTTCCACTTGGACATCGAGCCGTTGACCGCAACTCTTTGAGTGTGGCCATCCAGCCAATTCCTTATCCACCAAGTGGTCCACCAAGATGTGTAACATAAAGTTTAGTGCAACTATGCCATTCTATATATAGCATTTTTCTAATTGTTTTTCTCTGCTTCTTTAACAGAGTGGTCAGGCGTATTACATACATGATGGTGAAAACGTCATATTTTCTGAATGGATAGTCCCTTTAGTATGTATTGCACACACGTTTGGCTCTAATGCACCGTATGGGCCTTAATCGTATCATTAACTAAAAGACCATACTAACTAAATGAAATTCACTGCACATTAATTACTGAATTATTTAACATTAAAGTCAGTCCTGTTCTCCCTGCATTTTCCAAAGTTGCACTGGCTTTAAGGGAAGTTTTGGATTAACTGTGGCGTTCAGCCCATGTTGTTTTGAGGGAATTTAGCCGAGAAGTGTAGAACCTGCTATGGAACAGTAGCATTTCTGTAAAGCAAGCTCACAGTGCACGAGAAGTTCTGCTGTTAGCATCTGGCAGACCTTTTAATTTCTTTGTTGTGTCATCAACTGCAGCACAGAAGGGAAGGCCTTTTAGAACCGTATCTTAAAAACTAAAAAGAGGCAACATTATGTTTTCATAAACATCAGGCTGGGATTTTAGGAATATGCTAAAGTTCTGATCCTGCAATGCCAACACAGGAAAGACTTTCAGGAAAATGACTGCAGTAGAATGATGGGTCTCTATCTAAATGTAGTTCAGTGTTCCAGACTCAGTCACTTGCCCCTTGGAAAGCGTGTCTTTACCATCCAATTGCATTTGAAGGGTGGGAGGTAGACACCGAAGAACGAGTAGCGGGTTTCAGTTGCATTTCTTACTACCAGTATTGGTGGGAAGATTAACTGGAAAGTTTAGATACATGTTTTATCAATATTCATTTTTCCATTTTCATGCTTCATTGTCACCCTCAATTTGATACAAATTCTCTCTTATTCTTTCCATCTATATCCCTTCTAGTTTGAAAAATTAGGCTACAGGAAACCCTGGATACATATTCCTGTTCTCCTGGTTCATATAGCAGGTAAAAATAATAAAATATATACTTAATAATCGCACTATTTTTTTTTTATTTGTTTTCTTATTCCTATAAAGGTATGTAGAGGTTTTATAAAATTCAGGGACCCAAACTGTAGGAATTATAGAACTTAACATTATTCTAATTAGTACAATAATTGTTTATGCCATTTGGCATTAATTATACCAGATAAACTTTAAAGGCTATTCATAAACTGAGCACATCATGTACTTTATAAATTAAACACCGCCTTCTACCACCTTAATTGTATCCTTGGATGTCAGTAGGAATTACAGGATGTGCAATGTCAGTATTACCTCAGTTTATTTTTATCCAGCTGTCTCACTAAGTAACTTTCTGTTTCACAGCCACTGTGATGGAATATCTGCACCTGATACTAAAGCCGGTTTTTAGCTTTACACCTTTCTTGACAAGGAATGAGGTAAATATATAAAAAGAGGGAATGTTTATATATTTCCAACCAAAATTCTCATGAATTATGTGATACGCCCTTTGGATGCAGACAGGATTGTCTGCATTAGAGCTCTGTTTTCTGCTCAGGGCATAGTCAAGTCAGGGCTTATACAGTCATTTTGTAGCCTGATTTTTCCATGCCATCCTGGCCACCCTGTATAAAATCATCAGAAATTAAACCTTACTTGAAGATTAGATGATCCAGAGAAACATCCTAGAGGTGCAATACAGAGTCACTGGCATGGAGCTGGCACAAAGGGGAAAACAGATACTACATCATCATTTCCAGCGAGCTCTCCTGTGCTGTGAAACTACTTCTTAAAGGAAGGTGGTCCAGGAGTACAGAGCAAGGGGCTTGGGTCAAAGTGGTAGCAGTTGTCATAATACTGGGCTAGTCAATAATTAGAAAGTCCACTAAAAACAATTCTAAATTGGAATGAAAAGTCAACTTTGGGAAAAAAACCCAAAACAAACAAAAAAAACCCCACAACACTTTCTGGACAAATTAATTTTGATCTAACTTACGGTTTTGTACAATGTTATGATTTATAATATAAGCCAAAATGCTTTAACTCTATCATCTAGTCTCTTACTGTATTGTAGCATGTAACATAATAGGACACTGAAGGGACTGCATGGACCTCATTAAGTTCTGCTGTAGCTTATCAGTTATTTCACAATTTATCTATGTTTTTTATACTTACTTCTATGTTAGTTCTACCTCTGAAGCAGAAATCATTGAGACTATGCAACTGAAGCATTTCCACAGGTACCATGCGTTCAGAGATGGAGGATAAAACTCTCCAAGAGTGCATATTTTCCACTCCTTAGACACACCTTTCTGCCAAGTTGAGAAGCCACACCCCTGTCCTCCAATACATTCATGCAGTTCCGTTGCACATTCCTCTCTACAGAAGAGCCAGGTTGAGAAAAGCGTGCTGATCTATCACATAGGATTTCTGTAGTTCATTATCTCACATTGACAAGGGAGAAATCAGTGTCATAAACTCCTCCTGCACCCAGTCCACCAAGCTTTGGCACTTTACCTCTCCGCTACATCAACTCATTCGGTTAGCTCTGGACAGCATCTGACTCCAAAATGTATATATTTTTGTGTGTCTACCTTTATTCATGTTTTTAATTCCATTGTAATATCATTGTTGACATATTTTCATCCAAGTTCTAGAAAATCAGATATTAAAGTCACTTCTATAACTGTTCTTTGTCTTTCAGGTGTGGAACGTTACTGTAACTCACACTTTCCGAATAGACAAGGCACGAAATCAACTTGGTTACAAACCAAAGAAATTCTCATTTGCGGATTCTGTGGATCATTATCTTAAAACAAGACCTACTTGCCAAGAAGATCACATGTTCCTTAAAATGGTGTTTGCTTTTGGCATTTTGTTAAGTTTGATCATTCTTGCTTTCTTCTAAAATCAAATAACTACCCACCTGTTCCAGAAAATCTAATTTTGTTTCTGAGTATTAATGATCTGGTCATAGCACATTCCTCAGTCACTCTGGACTTTATTATTCTTACTGCTGTGATGACGTCTCTCTGATCTCATTTAAAAACAAAAAAAACCCCAACCCCAAAAAACCCCAAAAAACCCACAAAAGTGAAAACACAAGGCACATCAGGAAACGTTCCCAAGGGAAAATGCAGTGTCACCAAGTCAAAGGAGTTCACCGCTAATGGGTGAAGGAATAGTTTTAACGGATCATCATTGATGGATTGCTTCATGCTGAGAATGATTTTCTAAAAATGGTAATTTAGGAGGGTAAGCAGTTGCAAGAAGAGTAACCATTGTAGGACTGCAGTGCTATAACAAGTCCAGTAGCTCCAATGAAGAAAGGGTTGACTAAACAATTCCTCTGATGAAGCTGCTGCTACAGCTACTGTATGTTAGTATGAGGAATTATGAAGACCTGGGAAATAGTAAATAAAATATGGAGAGATTAATAAATAACAGCTGGTAAGAGGACTGGAAGTCATATTTATGTAAAATAGTTGTATTGTTCAAAAGCTTTGTAAAACTGTAATAACTTTATGTGTGTTTGTAAATCAAATAATATCTTTTCAATACAATAATAAAGAATAACTGAACCAAATACTGGTTTTAAGGAGCCTGTGAGAAGGGGAGGGAGGGCACATAAGACCTGGGAGTTCAGCAAGCTGTTGCTGCTACCTTGCCTTGTAAGCGCAGCCAGGTTACACCATCCATAATCCTGTATCGGGGCTGGCACACTGCTCATGCAGCAAATTGCCATTTTGGGGTGAGCAAGCAAGCCAAGCACTAAGACCCGAATGAGCATCCAACCTCTCTTTTCCCCCTTCTTAAGACTTATGTTAGTTGCTTCTTGGGGGGATTGTACTACCTGAGCCACATGTGCTACGTGCATAACCTTACGAAAATTCATCTGAGCTACATGTGGTACATGTAGCACACGTACCACGTGTAGCTCAGACGAATTCTCATAAGGTTACCTGCCGCAAGGATTCTCCCAGCGACCAGCTTTGCTGTCAGCAGGGAGCAGCAGCTCCCTCTCTTGCACCCGGCATGGATCTGGCGAGCTGGGATTGCCCAGGGGGGCCGTGGCAGAGTGACAGAAAAGCTCTGCCATCTGATTATCTCCACTCTGTATTTGTGTATTTGTATTTTGCCTTTGTGTTAGTGTTTTACAGGGTTTTTAAGACCAGCAAGTATATAGAGATTCTCTAATTGTATCTTTAAATTTACAGAGTACACAGGACAGCTTATAGCAACCCTACAAGAATAAAACATTAAAGACAGTATACAGTGACAGGAAAACGTGTGAGCAACCGCAGTTACCACTGCAGCTTATGTGAGCAAATAATTGTTTCACTCTATTTTTTTTTCTTTCCTTTAAACAAACAGTTCTACTTGCAGTGAAAGCAGTAAAGCCTGGTCTCTTATGGATTTGCATTTGGAGATTGTCCTTGTCCATACAAACTGAGGTCACACTGTACGTCTTCCCTTAGCACTGCTCAGCCCTCTCTGCTATTCCTGACTACCTATTGTCAGGAAACTTTAACAAACTCAGTATACAGGAGACCTTTGTCCAAGTTTGATTACAACCAGTTACGTTCACAACTTGGCAATACAGAGGTGCAGGTAACTGGCAGACAAGTGAGCACTGCAGGAGGTACCGCGTGAGCCTTGTTTCCCTAGAAATGCAGAATAGAAAACCACAAATGTAAAGTTACTTCCCAGCATAAGCATTTTAACTGTATGCAAACAGTTAATTTGCTCTTAAAGTATTTACGAATCTTTCATATATTGCTTTTATTAGACTAAGAGCTCAGGACTGCATTCTGGATTATACCACCACTTTTCAGATGCAGCGTCAGACAGTTGCCTGCAGCCCAGTGAGAAGTGCAGGCTGTGGCCTTTTTTTGGATACTCCTCAGTAAGGACTAACCGACGAATTTGCTGGCTTTGCGGTTGCAGGTCCCAATGGAGTCCCACCATTCCAGTCCTGTAATGCCATACCTCTGGTTTGTTATTTCAGGTAAGATGCTTTTTACATCACTGTTATAACAGTATAGATTATTACTAACTGGCTGCGTTCAATTGATTTATCATTATTACAAATCCAGCATTTGAAGTTTTAAGACAACTTTTAGTATCAGTTTGGAGTAGCCAGCTGTCTCATTTCTGTCAGTCTTTACTGAGTCACAGTTTAAGCCAGCTTTGTTCGAGTTTCTCTTGCTCTAACATAATTGCAAGTGTGTCTTTAAATGATTAAAATTTAATATGAACATTCAGATGTGGCACAGCGATAATGGAAGAGGTAAATGTGTTCACAGGTTGATTTTTGCCTGGAATGGGTAACTGAAATTCTGCAGCTCCTGACCCTTTTCACACCGTCCCAGGCACGAGTGACCACCTATCTGAACAGAGACCCACCGGCAGCTCAGGAGGACAGGGATTTCCATGCCTATTTGTTGATGATCATATTTCCTCTTTGGGTATTCCTGCTGTTTTGCAGGTGCTCTGCATCTCTCTGAGCCATGTCCCACCACCAGCTATCCAGCTGGTAATCAAGAGATGGTGTGTTTTTCCTGAACAACCTGTTCAACAGGTATCACAGTGTGGACAGAGCCCTAGCCACCCACAGGATGCTTTCGTGCAGTGGTCGCAGCTGTGTGAAGACACACGGAGGTAAGAGCCACTACAGGATGCTGTGAGATCCCCAGGGATGCTGTGGGATGAGCAGGATCCGAGGCATGCTGTGGGATGAGCAATATCCCAGGAAGACTGCGGGATTCCAAAGATGCTGCAAGATGAGTGGGACCCAGAGGTGCTGTGGGACACCGGGGTG